TCATTTCTTGAATCTCGCAAACTAATACTTAACGCGGTTTCTCTAAAAAAAAATTGCGACGACCCCGAAAATTACTGAAAATATTCGAAGCTAGCCCTTTCGAGGAAGTATTTTACCTCATGGTATGACGTAGTCTTACTATAAGGGTTACTTATGGACGTAAAATCTGCTCACTCACTCGACTCTAATTTGTAAGATAATTAATTTTGCACTGAAAATTGGATTAAACTCGATATTTGTGTTGGGTATAATTTTGACATCAATAAATTTTTACTTTATCATCTAACTGTTCATTTATTTATGGTGATTTTTCTTTACAGGATTTTAGCCCTCGAGAAGCTGGGCGCAGTGTTTAATCAAGTGGCAACTCCCTTGCGGTACACCCCAAGGAAATTTGTCATCCACCCCCAGAGTAACAATTTAGTTATCATAGAAAGCGATCATAATGCTTTCACTGATACAGCTAAGGAAGAAAAGAAGCAGCAAATTGCCGAGGTGAGTAGAGGATACAACGTACAATTTTATTACATAGAGAATTCCTTAGGATATGTATGACAAACACACTCAGCACTCGAATGTTTACGAAGTTATGGAGCTCGATTATTGCAAAAATTGAGATTTGTCAGTGTGTCGCCGATCAGTTACCTGCTCAAGCCTTCGTTTTTAGTGAATACGACTTTTTGTGAATTATTGGTCCGCTCATCTCTGACAAACCACTATAGTTGGCGCAACCTCGGCCACTATGAAGAAGGAGGTAAATTTCTAAAGAAACTGTGGCGTGCGTCGGTGTTAGATTATAACAGGGTAATTTGATTTTATCAATTGAGTCGATGACGTAAATGGCCACCGTTAAGAGTTTCAAAGCTTATGTTTCGAGCGTTAGAGCAGAGGGCTAAGACTCCGACAATTTACGTTGTCAACTCAGTTGATAAATTACCTCAATTTGAAGAAGCTTTGGTTAAGAAACGCCGCCAGTTAATATTCTACATTTTAATGTTGACAACTTTGTCCGGGTGATGTTTCAGGAAATGGTCGAGGCTGCTGGTGATGACGAGAAGGAGCTTGCAGCACAAATGGCGGCTGAGTTTCTGAATGAGGATCTCTCTGAGCTGCAGTTTGGTGCTCCGAAAGCAGGACCTGGAATGTGGGCATCTTGTTTGAGAATGCTGGACCCTATAAAGGTTAATCTCATTATTGTTTTTACTTAAGAGTGTCGTAATTCGAAAACCAAAGTTTAATGTAATTTTTTAAAGCGGTCACAATGAGCCAATGATAACTCAAAGGAAAGACAAGTAATTTCCCTGAAGCTTGGGAAAACGCGAGTGACTCAACTGATAAAGTCGCGTTGGTCTTCGTTTTTCGTCTGTGAACCGACCATCGCCAAGCAAAATCAATGCAATCTTTTTTTTACTTTAGGCCCTCAATTGAGAATTGCCCTTGGTGAAAAACAATGTTTGATTACACCCAGATACTGACAGAAGAGTAAAAATAAGACGCTAAGCGGGTATCTTCGGGAGGAGTTTCAAGGCGTTTGAGAAATTTGATCATGCAATGTGTTGTCAACAGAAACTTTCGTATTATTTGCAAGGCAATCCATGCGAATATTCTTTTTTTCTCTCTTCTAATACTTAGATTCCAATACATGACAATACCTTGAACAAAGAGACTTAACCGCGTATCAGCACTTGAGTTAATGGCCTAACGGAAGTTTTCTATTTTTTCAGGGCGAAACAGTCGACGAAGTCCGCTTGGATCAGAATGAATCTGCAGTCAGGTTAGTTTGCGCCCAGACTGTTTCATAAAAAAAAACTTGGAGTTGAAAGAAAACGGGCATCATTAAACAGTTGATTGCGATGCAGATTTGTTTCCCCCTTGATTCCTTAAGTTAGATCAGGGTAAAACTTTTCAAACGTACTGAAGCATATGGCCTTATTTAAAGTCCCTAATCGTTGCTCATATTCTGGTGATGTGTTCCTATTCTTTAAACCTTGGTGATTGGTTGTTTGGTTTTGACTCCAACTTATGTAATACAATGATGAGACGTTGGGTTTTGTTCCGCAGTGTGTGTGTTTGTAACTTCACGTGTCGCCCAGACGAAACATACGCATTAGTTGGCACAGCTAAGGATCTCTCACTTAACCCACGATCATGCGCAGGGGGCTTCATTCACACGTACAAAATAGCTGAGTTGATTGATGGGGGATATAAACTGGAGTTTGTCCACAAGGTGAGGACTAGTTACTGCTCAATACTCCCTATAGCTTGTTCCAGGCGTTCAGTTAGTAAAGCGCAGCGCGAGAGTAGTAACAGAGCAAAAACCGAGGGGTTTGGGTCGGGTCTTTTCACTCCTCCGCTACTGCCACGCTCCGCTAGATATCGCGCTTCTACTCTCTGAACGCGTGGAACAAGCTCTACTCTTTACGAGTGGATCGTCCCGGTAAGCGTCTCCACCCCCATTAGTTTTGTGATACGTTGGGTATTCCTCTCACATCCAAGATTTAGAGAAATGTCAAATCTTTTCTTTGCCTGGTCTACGTTTCTTATAATTTTCCTCAGAGAATTTATGTGTTACGTCAATTAGTATCCCTTGGTCTACATTTTTCCTTTTTTATCGTTACTTTGTCAGCATAGTGGTCCCAAAATATCAAGCGAACTTATTTTTTTTTTCACAAGAGCAAATAATTGCATGTATATGTTCTCAGTAGTGCGCACTAAAAATTTAAAGCCAGGTCGATTTATATTTTGATGTCATGTTATTATATCAAAAGCAAGCAGAGTTTATTTTATTTTGTTTTATTGCTACATTCAATTTGGTTTGTTCGTTTTATTTCAGACGGAAGTTGATGATATTCCAGGAGCGCTGACTCCTTTTCAGGTACGTTTTTTAAAGTTCTAATTAAAAATTTTCTCTTTTTCTTCCTCTTTGTAATATTTTTGTATCCATGCGCGGCGCGCGTGATTTCACGAATTAGCCAGTCACGTCGAAGAACTCTTTCGCTGACGTAGACATTTTTCGCGTACTTTTGTTGTTTGTTTCATGGAGTTTTTAGTAGTATTTGAGTTTCGTTCGCGCAAATTTGTTTCCCTTGGTTTGGAATTTTAAGAAGTTTTTAGAGTTTTTATTTTAGCCAACTGAAGGGGAAGAAGGAGGGTAAGGTAATTATTTTTTGTGTGGGGGGGGGGGGGGCATAAATATTTCATGGGGTATGTACTTTTGATACTCGGAAATCATTCGGCTTAAGCCGGCTCCACGCCTTCTTAAATCATACTCCACGGTAAACACTAAAAACCGTCCACTGTCCCAGACTTGCTATTCTTTAGAAAAAGTCAAAAGTAATTTTCTTGAAGATAAGCATTTCGGTGTACTAGTTTTCTGTATTTACGTCAAAACATTAAAGATGCTAGGGACAGCGTAAGTTTTACGTCTTAGCCAGGCATTCGGGCCGTTCGCGTAGACCAAACGTTAGTCGTTTTTGAGCGATATCTCCTTCCAAACCTAACTGAACGTGTGATCCAAACGCAGAGTTTTATGGACAGCACAAAATTAGCGATCCTTATCCGAAGAGACTACTAGTGCATTTACCCTTACGACGAAGATTAACCACAATCTTTTCCTTTTTTAACTGACATAATAAGTGTCAGATAGTGGCTTTCTTAAACTGCCGTTTACGTTAGACTTCATTTGGATAACAGTTCTTTTATGCTTGTCTTATGTGACTTTAGGGACGCCTTTTAGCTGGGGTAGGACGACTGTTACGAATCTATGATCTCGGAAAAAAGAAGCTCCTTCGCAAATGTGAAAACAAGGTATGGCCGCCTTGGACGTGATCAGCACAACAGCGACGGTCTTATGTCGACCAATTTTGTTACCATTGACATCATTTGTTTGTCATTTTACTTACAAAATGAAGAATTTTCTTTCTCATTTTTTTTTTTCCAGAAATTGCCCAACTTCATTATGGGTCTGAACACAATGGGAACCCGAGTAGTCGTGAGTGATATTCAAGAGTCTTTTCACTTTGTTAAGTTCAAGGCTCGGGAAAATCATTTGGTTATATTTGCGGATGATGTAAATCCAAGGTATGTGATCTTTTGTTTTACCCGCTTTTAAAAGTAACTTGCGCAAGGAGGAAACACGAGAACCCACTTAGGGCTTGTACTGATTCTCTCAATCTACAGTCAAGTGTACCAACCATTAGGTTATCACTCGTCAAAGCTGAACAGTTTTAGCAGCAAGGCATCCGGTTATCTTCATTTATAGCTCTTAGGTTAAAAATAGACTGTTTGATGTTGTTATCTCGTATTACCGATTCCTTCAAAAACTGTATAACAATGCGTTTATGTACTCTACACGTTGAGAAAAAAAAACCGGATAGGACTTGAAATAGCGATCGAGTGGAGGACATAACATCTGGCTCTCTTCTTGAGAGGATTTGGTGCAATATTTCATCCATCTCTTCAGGGGACGGGCTACTCTAGTCCTTTGATAACGGACATTCTGACGAAACCAAGACATATTTCTTAATGTAAAGAGAGCGTTTTCCACTCAATAAATGCTGTGGGGGCTATCTTTGTTATTCAAAAAACCTACCTAATTTATTTACGAATTCAGTTTTGCGAAAGAAAATATCTTTCCCATCTTAGATTACAAATGAATACTATTTCGCAAGTTTGCTTGCCATTTTTTACAATGCCCTGTAGTAGGGATTATTTTGATAAAGAAGGAAGTCCAAGATAGTCAGTCGTTGTCGTGTGAGGAAGAGCGTTAAGTGAAACTATCTTCTGTTTCGCACTTGAGACACGGCAGTTGTACGTTAAGTTTGCGAAAATTGTTTCTTTTTATGGGTTGAAAGACAGAAGGTGGAAATGATATCTGTCAGTAATATTGAAGTAGAGATGCGTTGATAATGGAGAGCGGCACGTACAGACCCATAAGAACACAAGCACGTTTTTTACGTTAGACTCAAGGAAACATAACACTTTTATTTCACGTTCTCGGTTTTATTGCGTAATTTTGCTGTAATTGAAATTTCGTCAGCTTCTGTTTTGTCCTAAATTTGGCATTTCATGATTATCAGCGATCAATGCATCAGATTCAGTGAGCCTCCTTGATTTTTTTCTTCTTTTTCAATAGAAAGTTTTCATTATTAATTTTAACGTCCACGTCTAAACAGCTCTGTTCTGTGCTCGAGAGAGTACCTTAAACTGAAGTTGTTATTACAGCGTTACTTCCGTCGGAACCATTTCCTCTTTCTAACAAGTCTTGGAGGGCTTTTCGAAAGTCAGTTTTGAAGAAGGTGTATAACAGAGGATTGATTAGTGCTGTGCTAAATTTTAAGGACAAGAGGATGATCCCGGCGGCGAATGGTATCGGATATTCAGGTTTTATGTCGTTCAGCAAAGAGATGATAAAATAGGGGAACCATCCAATCACGAATGTAATGGTCATGACAGCGTATATTATCAGTGCCTTTCTATCGTTTCTTCTCCTTTTTTCCCTGTCTTGCTTCTCAAATAAAGTCCCTTGTGTTAAGGCACGCCTAAATTTCTTTTCCTTGTGAATGTAATAAAAAATATGGCCATCTATACAGGCGATGATGATAAAAGGCAGAAGCGCTAACGATAGTAAACTGAATACCGAGTAACCAAAGTCGAATTTTTGGGTGAGTTGTTCGTTGTCACTTAGGATCCATGTGAGCTGAACGAAGGAAGCGCTCAGAGAGAAAATCCACACAGCCATCAATAGAGCCACTACTCGCCGCTTTGTTACCAGGATATTGTACTTAAAGGGTCTTTTGATCTTAAAGTAGCGCTCCGATGTTGCTACCAGCAGGTGAAGAATTGTCGAGAACGACTGAAATCGATGGCATAAATCCATGCTGGTGCAGATGGGATTGGAAAAAACGATTGAGCATAGGAGCACCAACGGGAGCGAAACAAGCCCAGCTAAGAAATCGCTGGCTGCCAGACTTACCAAACAGTAGTTCGTCTTTGTTCGTAAATGTTTTGTGGTCGCAAACAATAAAAACACCAGCGAGTTCGCGCATATTATAAGGACACCTTGTAAAGACAGGAATACGATCACTGCTTGACCGGATTGAGTCTGATGTAGCTTCCAACGGTTCATCTCTTGTGTCAAATTTCTGTTTTCCCTCCATGTTGAGTTTTCCATCTTTCTCCGATTTGTTCGCCTTTAAGTTGAAACACCTGTGGGCAACCGGATACTCGCGGCGTCTTCTGAAGTCTCTTGCAGTCGGCTAAAGGCTAGTCGTTTATTCTACGAACGCAAAAACACGGGTAACGTTAGATCACGGGTAATGGGATCACTCAGTCTGTGGTGTGGCGTGCGAGATTCTAAGCCGACCAAACAGTTTGAATGCAGTTTAACTCTCTCGCCGCGCAATTTCCAAAAGTGAGTGAAGTTTGTCATTATGGCCGTTTATCAAGGCCATTAGTGTGCCAATATTTCGTGAAAGAAATTCAAATTGATGTTTACCTTTTGAAGTATAATTGGTAATTGTTTTTAGGTGATGATGGAAAATCCCTCATGCCCATAAATCATTGTTTCCCACGCTAAGATAGAAAGATGATCTTTGAAGTGGCATCATGATAGTGTGTTATCTTTCGAACACAAGTTCCGTTGAAGATTTTCTCTTTCTCACATTACCTCTGTGTTCGTTGTTCTACTTGTTTTGTATATTTTATTTTAGAGCGATTTGTCATCGTCAAGAACCGGAAAGGTTTCATTGGCCCTGGTGATTTCATTTCCTGTTACATTGTCAATTTGGGAGTGTTATCGTTTTGAAATTTTGACATTTTACATTTTAAGAAAAACTTACGTGTACGACTGGCATTCTGCAAAATATGACATGATGGAGTCATTTTTTATTCTTTTTGTATTCCATGTACAGATGTTTTGGCGAATTCGTGAGTATCAAACTGTGAAACATTGTACTCTCCCAGCCGTTTCTTCCTTTATCTTCCCTTTCTTAAAAAGATTCATCGGGCAAGATTTAAGAAAACTTTTCGCAGATGCAACAACTAGATATTTCAATTTTTTTTTCCTTTGAAAGTTCCTTCCTTGGAGGAGACGAGAAATTTCAATTTGCGTTAAGTAAACATTGCCACAAGTACTCTAGGTATATTTGAGAACGAACTTTGGCTGGTTTAATTTTCTTAGTGTGGCATCTACCAGCCAAAGTTTAATTCAGAAAGGCCAATGGATCTCGGCATACCTAAAAGTTTTGTATCTGAAGTGTTTAAATCAAGTGCAAGTAATGTTACTTCGGTGATTAAAAATTTGTTGTGGCATTTGTTGATTCACACAATTATTTTAGCGTCTTGGTACAAACAAGACGCAATTTTTCGTCTGTCTTCTCCAAAGTAGTGATTAGCCTGATATTCCCCGAAACAGTTAATTTTTGTGGTTAGATGATGTACGTCTTTCCTAATTATCCGTAGTATCTTAAAAACGGAAAATGTTGCGACTGCTTTCTCCTCGCATTATGATACCAAAAAAAAAAAAATTCGGGTAAATATGCTTTCGTTTGGTTTGGCGAAACATGTTGCTTAAGAGCTTGTTCGTTTTGCTCTCGACATGTTTTTTGGTTTAAGCGGACCACCTGTCACAAATCGCTTTCTCTCAAGTATCTTCCTGTTTTTAGAAAGGGAGAATCTTTCTTTCTTGCCGCTATTTAAACCAATCGTATTAAAAATACAAATTACAACACAGCCTTCCCGTGGGCGAAATGCATTTTGATAGTTAAAGGCGCTAATGGCACAGCATTTCGGACCGAGTCAAAAGCTTGTCGGAGGTTGACGGGCGTGCCAACTTGAGCGAAAACGACCTCGCTGAGATGATTGCCATCAATTTTGATAATCGCTACTTTTACCTAGACAATTTTCCCATCTTTGTGTATGAAATCACAATTTTTTTCCTGAAGTATTTGAGGTGAAAATTTTCTTGGGGGTTAAAGCTGTCAATAGTTGAAATTTCCTTCAGTCCAATATGCTTCTTCTTGTGCAATATTTATCTGCCTGAAGCAGGTGACGAGAAGGTAATAACTTAACCGTAACACAAAAATTTCGAGAGGCCCTTAAAAATAATAAACATAGTGGGAATTTCTTGGAAAAGAAAAAAGAACAATGAAAACTAAATTTCTCTATTCCCGGTTTTCGTCGAGAAGAGTGTCACTTTGTGCAAACACTCGAGCTTTGAACATGATTAAGTTTTATTTTTAGCTTTCACTTGTCAACAAACTTTTTTTGTTTTACTCTTGGAATTAATTTTCAAAATTTCGCTTTACGTCATTTAGTTTCGTTTGCAAATTTTGACGCGGCGCAGATGTTCCCTGGTAAGAATGTGCTGCGGTTTATTTTTTGGGTAAAAACACGAAAAACAAAACTCCTCTCTCGGAGTTCCATCTTTCCGATTCTTTGTATCATTTTTTTTCATCTCTTTGTCAGCATATTTTTATTTTCGTTTGATAGCGTTTAAAAACACTGAGGCCCAGCTCAATTGGCCGGGACAGAATGTGTAATTATAGCCTCACAGAATGACGCCATAGTAACTCCTTCGATAAAGAGCGACATCTCTCTTTCGAAAAAGTCTGCCACGAAATGGGAAATTTGCTAGTGAAGTGATGAACTTTTCGAATAAGCTCTTGTCCTCTTACCTTCTTTTGGATCAACCACTCTCGCTCTTCACATCAAGCACAGACGGCGGTCAAATATTGGCGTTAATTTGTTTTTAGAGTATTTTGTTTATATTCACTTGTTTTTGGCGCCTGTTTAGCACCCTATTCTGTTACTTTGTAAGGAGCTTTTGAGCAGACCTCTGTGGAGACGGATATTGCTTGCAACGCTGAGTGAAATTTATCCCACTGTGAATTGCAATTATGCACTGCTGGCGAGCAGGTCCAGTGGGCAGTCACGCTGCTTGTGGCAATGTGTGTGGTTCGCTGATTAATTAGCACGGCGCCTTGACATCAAAATCTCATCACTCGTTGTTTTAATTTCGATCGTTTAGTGACACGATAGGTGATTGTACGCGGAATCAAACACAGATTTGGCCCAAAGTTCACATTTAGGCAGGCAAGGCAAATCCTCCCCGGGATTATAAAAATTTATGTAATTGTATTTCTCTGCAACAGCGAGCGTAACATTTCTTTCCTTAAGGTGTGCTGGAAGTAACCTAGATTTGTTATTCTTGAACCTTTGCCATTGTCACAGTTTTATTTGTGTGCTTTTTTTTTCCCAAGAACAATATTTACTCAAAAATATTTTTCTCAAACCTTTTTATATTTAATATTCAGTTGGGAGACTTCAGTAACGGAAATTGGAAATTTTGCTCATCGACATGAAATTTTTCCTCAGGTATCACGGACTAAAACTTCGTCGCATGTTTATTCGAGGCTAGCCATATCTTTAGAACGACGAAGTGAAAGGAAAGTCGATATATAAGTGCGTCCACTTAGATTTAAATTTAAGATCATCGAAAGGGCTCTCAAATATACGAAATTTGATAAAACCTTGTAAGCATATTTCAGATGTAAATTTATCTATTGACATTCTTCAACACAGCTTTTGTTTTCACATATTTCCTGAATACGTCAGGAGCTCAGTGATAATTAATTGCACCTTATAAATCGCGATTCGTATTCCTTCGACCGGCTTCAAGCTGGTGGAAGTGTTGAAAGTTCACAGTTTGAACTTGGCAGCTAACCGTAAACCGTTGTTGCGAGCTCATTAGCAGTGACCAAAGTTAGTGAGATTCCATTGCTTTTTTACATGGCATATGGCTTGATTGGAAAATGTCGTAGTTGATTGTTCCAGTTCTACCTTCCGATTGGTTTCATTGTCTAAGTGGCCCCAGTTTAAGAAAATGCACGGGAAAGGCTGGTTTACACAGGCGACAAAGTCGAGGTTAATTTGAAAATCGGGGTCTGAGGTGCAGTCATAAGCTCGATGAAACCGGAGTCAGAAGAAATAGAATCAGAACGATTTCATTTGATTTTCGATTGCTCTCATGACTCGGATGTGTATGATCAAATGAAAATTAAATTGTCGAAGTCGCACGCAGAAGCAAAGGAGCCGGCCAATCACAATACGAGTTCTCAGGACATCCGTGGCTTATTTAGTTTTCACAAATCATTAGCAACAGAGTTACAAGCGTGATTTTCACTTGAACATGTCCCTCTTCGCATCTGAAAACGACCCCTTAACATGAGTTTAACTGAAAGCCGGTTACGGAAAGTCTACTGTCGCTTGTTAGATCTTTCACTGCCGTCTGTGTAGCTTGCGTGCAGGCTCTCGTATTTGGGTCTCGCCTTAGGGCCCTTTTTCAGACACGGCCGACTATTGCTCCATCGGCAGCCGCTCATGGAAAAAGTTATTAAAACCTCTGCATTATTGAGAAGCAGCCTCAATAGTTTTAACAACGCTTACATTGAATCGTTCTCTTTTCAGGTGGCTAACCTGCTGTTGTTACTTAGACTACGACACTGTTGCAGGCGCTGACAAATTTGGTAACGTCTTCGTGGTGAGTATGTCGTTTCCTTGTTATTGTCTAAGATGTGTCCTTTGCAGCCTGTTTTTTTTTCTCGTGGTCTTTAGCAAACTAATTCAGGAACGTAAATTGGCCACCGTTAAAAGTTTTTAAAGCTGACATTTCGAGCGCTCTGTCGACGGACTCACGCGCGAAATGTCAGCTTAAGAAACTCTATGCAGTGGCCAATTCAACGCAGCTGATGAAACTAAATTATCTTGGAATAACCCTTACCCTAGCTCTACCACACTTTCTCTAGAAACTTAACAATATAGCAAAATTCTTGAACATGATTGGTTATCACCAGACCTATTTGAGCACTTATAGGACAGATCACACGTCATACCTGTGCAAGTGGACAGAATGGGTCATGTACGCGCCTTATTGTGTCGCATTTCACTGAGTTAACTTAGATAATGTAGGTTAATGTAGGTACGGCTATTGTGATCTCTACCAAATTCTGTTTGTAATCACAATTTTCATTTTTATTAAATTCAGGTTCGCCTCCCGTCCAGCATAAGTGATGAGGTTGATGAAGACCCTACAGGTACTAAAGCATTCTGGGATCGTGGGCTCTTAAACGGTGCTCCCCAAAAGGTACGTTGTGAGCGTGGTGGCCGTGAAGACTATGGCACACATGCTAATGCTTAGGCGACGCTAAACTGCGTTTTGGTTTCTATGGTTACGCCTATCGTTGACATTAATCCATATAACTTGTACAATGAGAACGGAAATTTTGAAATGCTTTGCAGAGTGGATTAAGTAGAAAACACCGTGTTTATATGTGTTGTACATTTCAAATCGGAGCTCTTTGAAAACGATGCGTAACTGCTTTACATTTTGTTTGGGATGATTTTAAGGAGCTGATTTCGCGCATGCTCATCGGATTTTTCAAGCATTCAGGCTCATGTGCACGAAACTCATTTTAATAGTGATCCAGAGTGGACAGAAATTTTTTTCTTGCGTTATCGAATTTTCTGGTTAAATGCCTGAGATTTAAGATTCTGGCAAAGAACGGGCAACTTGTTTGCACGGCAACCAAATTTTACTGACTATTGTTGTTGCAGAAATTATGTCAGTTTGAAACTGTGGAACAACAGTGTTAAATGAAAACGTTCTCTACTCGCATAATTTTTAGTGCCCCTACCTTACCTTATGACAACAACTTTGGTTATTCATGCTTGATATTTCCTTGTTTCTTAAATGGCAGTATTTTTTCTTGAACAGGTGGAGACGCTGTGTAACTATCACGTCGGTGAAACAGTCCTGTCGTTGCAAAAGGCCACTTTGATCCCCGGAGGGTCCGAGTCGTTAGTTTTCACCACCCTGTCAGGAGGTATTGGTATGCTGGTGCCGTTCACATCAAGAGAGGTACAACATCCCTCCCTTCGCCACCTTTTTGTTATTCATGTTTCCTGTCTTTTTTGCTTGTTTATTTTTTTTCTGTTTTCCTTTTTATTTGTCACTACACAAAAAAATGCTGTTTTTACAAGCTATGAGGTAGACAGAGAGTTTCTGCTCGCTGAATCTGTTCGAGGACTATGTCTAGTCGCATCCTTTATAAAAGTATCGCGATAGAAAGCAATAGCGAATGTCATACAACAAAATGTAAATGGATTTTTTGTTTGTTTGGAGACCTGTTGACCTTTCTCTAGAACCTCTTTTGTTGTCACTTCTAGAATTACAAACAATCAGGCAGACGAACAGCTGGGCAGACAAAGGGAAACAAGCAAGCAAATAAGCTTTGATCAAAACAGTACCGTTGTGGCTTTTGCCATATGCACTATACATAGCAATTTAAACAAATATTTAAATAGGTACGTATTTTTCATTTTTTTGTTGTAATTTTTTCCCAGGACATTGACTTTTTCCAGCACCTTGAGATGCACTTGCGCGCTGAGCAGCCGTCCCTGTGTGGCCGCGATCATCTGTCGTACAGATCTTACTACATGCCAGTCAAGGTTGGTGGCTGTTTATAAAAAGCCTACCTTTCAACGGTCTCAAGGTCATATAATCATTCCAAGTTAATTGCGATTATATCAGAATGAGCGCTTCTCAATTAAGTGTCGTAAAACCAAGCCAGAAGTGAACAGTCGATAAATGAAAGAAAACAAACTTAACTTAAACTTGCTTCAAGCGTAGGAAAATGCGAGTTCAAACTCTCTCTTGATTTAATTTATACATTTTGCTTTCGGGTAGAGGGGAGGGGAGGGTGATGCAAATTCTTTTAACCAAGCAAAAAGTGCAACAAAATAGAAACGGTCATTCTCGGATTACTTTGGGGACCCAGTTGAAAATTGCACCTTCGTTTTATTTAAATTTTTTTCTTACTTGCGTTTCCGGCATCAGTAATGTTGGAAAATTTGCATGTGGCTATGAGGTGGGATTTGTGTATTTTTGGATTTTTACAGATGCACGTGTTTTCTATCATTTTTGTATTACAGAGCGTGATTGATGGAGATCTCTGTGAATTTTTTAATTCTTTGGATTCTTCTAAACGACGCAACATTGCCGAAGAACTCGATCGTACACCAGCCGAGGTATTTTCAAAGCAATATTTGCCTAAAACTCTATCCGAAAAAGAGACAGGTGTTATGCTGAATTCTTGGCCTTTAAAGGAAACTTAAAATCTGTCTACTGAACACAGCTATTGTTAATGAAGTGAACATGACGATGAGCAATAAATAAACATCCGGCTTTTTTCTTAGGTGTCCAAGAAGCTTGAAGATTTGAGAACACGTTACGCTTTTTAGGAGTGGAAAGAAAAACCAGCAATCTTACGACGGAGATTGATTTTTGTAGCAGCTACAAGCGGAAATCGGTAGTTTTTGGAGACGTTTGGCGAGACACGATGTTCTTTAAAATTGTCTTCTTTCACTTTTGTATTAAAAACGAGTCATATGCGGTGAACATGTATTTTTTAGTGAGCTCATTCAAGATCCAAGCCGCTTTACGAACTACTCCTTGTATGATTGAATAGTAGCTGTAGAAATATTTTGTTTGTAACCCTGCCTTGATGTAATGTACATTATTCATTTTAGCACTAAATTGATTTTGTTAAATTTTGTCCAGACTGCTTGATCTCAATTGCTCTTTTCCGAAGCATAGATGCCATCAAAGTAACAGGTAGAAACTTTGCATACTAGTTATTATACCTGTGTACACTATGAAAAAAAGAGATTAAGTTTAAACGTCTGTCAGTCGTGTTATTCTTCCATCGGTTCCAATTTTTGTGGTTTTTCCCAGCTTTTCCCCCCATTAATTTCGTCCTTTTCTATGAGATACGCGTGCGCCTTTGTTAACCAAAGATTAAACACTTTTAAATCTTGATTCGACAAGTTTTGTCTACATGAATACAAGGATATAATTTTGCTCCCAGTTTGAAGCCATTTTGCTTCACGTTTTTCACAGTGAATAATTCCCTGTTTGCGCGACCTTCATAAGGCGTAAGGCATAAGGCATAAGGCCTTCGTAAGGCGCACTTTTATTTTCATGCGGTCGAAGCTAGACGCTAGTGAAGGAATTTTAATTCTTAATTTAAAGAATGAAACGACTTTAAAGCCAAACTTTGTTTGACTTTATCTTGTCACACCTTGACGTTTCAAAAAAACGAAACCTAACTGCACAAAGTAGAGTACAAATAACACTCGATTAGAGTACAAATATCTTGCGATATTGTATGGTTACTTGAACAGTTGGTTATTTTGTAATGTACGAAACCTGTTTAACCAGTCAAATGCGCGCGCGACGCTTCTGTATCCGCTTTGCTTTTCCCGCCTTATGAGAAATGACAGAAATACAGTAGAAGAAAAGTAGTTGGATCATAAATAACTTATTAGACGTTTTGGTATGTATTATCGTTGAGTGTTTTTACTTGTTTTTATTTTGACTCGCTCTACGGAATCGTCAAAATACGGCACAAATCGTGAAAATACCTAGCGATGCTACACTTAAATGATGAATATATACCGGGTACCAATCCTAACACTGCCACTCTAACGTAAGAAGTAAAAGCAACCGTTTCCCTAGCGACAGTTCTTTTTTGCTTTCGGCCGTCTCTTTCACCGAGAGCCTGGGACAGGCTGATTGAGAAAACGATACTAGTCCCCCCGTGCACGGGTTGACCGGGAGGGATGTAGCGTGAGAGTGGTCTTTTCAACTAAAGTTTAGAAGAATTTGCTAATATCTCGTGTCAACACGTGCTCTAACGCTTTTCACTTCACTGCTTGCTTTGCTCCGTGAATTAATTGTTTTCTTGAGAATACAATTAAACTTGTGGGTTAATGTTTGATGAGGCTAATTGCAGAAGCCAATTGCAGTTGATTTGAGTTCACGTCGATTGCAACACGCGTACGGTGAAAGAGCAAGTAATTATAGCTTCATGGACGAAAAGAAGAGTTTTAACGAGAATGGAGCTGCGACGAGACATGAAAACGGCGACAGAAAGGTGAAGTAGCTCTATAGTTGTGTGACTCTTTGACAGCGACATGGTTGTAAGCGCTCTTTTCCGCTCACTCGTCACTCGTCTTGAATCTCGTCGTGATATTTTCGAAAAATGTGAGATTTTGATAGGGTTCAACCCGCATATGGTACACTAGAACTAATATGCAAAGGTTATAGTATTCAGTCCAAAGGCATAAAGGTTTACTCAGGGCTTTGGCTGCCCGGATCTAAAGCGCGATTTCGTAATGCTTCGATTGTATTTTGGAAATTACTACTTCGATGAGTACACAACGTCGCGAAGTCGCAAAGCGCGCGGAAATGGCACCAAAAAGCTAATTTGTTCTTACAGTTATTCACTTCATTGAGTTAATCTGTCGATAGGCGATAACTTTCTCTACGCTTCGTTATTTTAAAGTAAAGATTCCGAGGTAGTCAGTCATTTCTTATTGGTACGTTCTTATATAAACAACGTGTTAGCTTTTGCATTGTAGCTCAAATTACAGCTAAACTTATGAATCTCGAAGGATTAACAATGCCGTACAATGGGTTTATATTACATAGATGCATGCTGTTTGGATTTGAAAATATGTCAGAAAACGAGCAATGTGAACGGCGGATTGCAGCAAAAAATGCACTTTATGAATTTTTCTCGGTAGGATGTTTTGTTTCGATTTTAAGCGCTTTGTTTTCCTTTCGTAGAAAGCTTCTTACCTCATTTTCCGTATTTAGGTTCAGTGCGTCTTTTTACTTTTTTGTGCTGTCTCATTTCACGTCAACGTTCACTCAGAAATGAGTTTGTCTCGTTAATGATACGCCAAATCACGAGGACCGTTCACCGTTTATTGTTTCATTTTTCTCGTGTTTATCAGTGCCTTTTTATATGCTAACTGCACCACGATATAATCTTTATTTACGCAGATGCATTTTCAAAACAATTTTTTCCGCACGATATGTTGTACCATATTCCCGATTGAGACAGACCTTTTTGAATCTGAATTTTTCGGGTAAATATGTTTAAGACAACTCGATACGAATTGTCTGAATAATGAAAACTAAACTTTTTGACTTTAAGTGAGGCTTTGCAACGTTTGAACCATTTTATCGACCGGTAGATACCACTTTTTCTTGTTGTTATGTCTTAGAAGTACTGCTCGATGGCTAATTTTGTCTTAAATGTGCAACCTGAAAATTTTGACTTAGAGAAAACGAGTGATTCATACGTTAGCTGCGCGTTCATCGAGATAAGAAGCACTTGGGAAGTGTTAAGACTCTTTGCAAGCTTAAATTGCTCTCGGCTACGTCCCGATAATGTAGACGATGTACATTATTGATTAAAAGCGGCGAAATTAGCTGTAGAGTTAACGATAATTCGCATTTTCAAGCGTGTACTGCGATTTAAATCTTAAACCTTAATTTGTTATAAAGTGAAAGTGATTCATGTTGGTCATGTTGGTCATGTTGTGGATCATATTTGCTCAGCGTTCATCGAGAAAACAAGCACTTGGGTAGTATTAAGAGCTCTCTTGAAGATAGAATGGCTCTCGGCTACACCTCGAGCAGCCTTTATTTGTCAATTGTCAAGAATATTTAGAAACAATATGAATTTATACCCTTAAAGCGATATTAATAGCTTTGAAGTTAACTATACTTTGATTCCCAAACGCAACACGAATTCAGGCTGGTAAGTGAAAAACGCATCTTCCTGACTTTGTAGTTAGGTGTGGACCTGTTTTAAACCGCTAACGGTTACTTTTGTGTCCTAAATGTATTGTCTGTTGGTGATTTTGTTTTAAAGTCCTACAGCTTCCAGAATTTTCGACTAAACGCAACAAAATATACTGAGGGCGAATTTAGTAAACAATGATGTAAGCTGACGAATCTCTTGAGCCCAACTGCAAAGAAGGTCTCAATGGGCTGATGGCCTTTACAGCTAACGGTTAAATTTTGGCCATCGTACGGCTAACGGTTAATTCATTTCCGTTGTGATTACAGGAGAAAATTTTTTAGGTTAATGTTTTTGTGCGAATAAAAGTTAAAATCTGTTAATTTATACAGCTAAAGAGCTCTTTTGAAGTTAGAATGGCTCTCGGCTACACCTCGAGCAACTTTTAACAATGAATTGTCAAGATATTTGGAAAAATATTAATTTGGGCAATTTTTTTGAGTCAATTGTCAAGATATTTAGATACAATACGCATTTAACCCCTAAAAGCGATATTAATAGCTTTGAAGTTAACTATACTTGGATTCACCCTGAGAAATATTTATCTGGACATAGCCTATATTATTTCTCTTGTGCACCGCTTCGCTCTGGCAGCTCAATGTCTTCGTTGGAAGTGATAACGGGCAACAAACAAGTAAACTCCACTCGGAGATTAGGCCGCCATCTTGGTTGTCGACTTCGTGGAATGAGTTACCTCGGCGCTAGAGTGAGCTATCATCACAATTCAACTTCCAGTTTTCAACTGATTCGACTGATCAAATCTGGTGATGTAAGTTTAAATCCTGGCCCCTCTGCTATTCAAGCTGTAATCGGAAATCGACACTCGACAAACGGCGACTTTGCTTATGCTAGCGCTGTTGGCAATCGTGCACCGCCGTGTCTGCGTAATTTGGTCCACATTATTGTGCCCAAGCCTCTACAAGTGTTGGAAAATATCAAGAACGATACGCAACGATTGTTGCTTTGCCTTCTCAATGCTCGATCTTTGAGAAATAAGTCAGCGTCGTTTGTGGATTTGGTATGCGATAGCAAAGCAGATCTATTTGCTGTTTCTGAAACCTGGCTTACAGACAATGACACTGCTATTCTTAGTGAAATAACACCACAGGGATACAAACTCCTTCATCATCCCCGCAGTGATCGCAGAGGAGGTGGGACTGCATTGATTTTCAAAGAATCTATCAACGTTGAAAAGGTTTCAGCTGCAGGAAAAGAGTCATTCGAGGTGTCAGAATGGTTGGTCAATCCTGTGGCTACTACTCGTTTGCGGGTTGTTTTAGTCTATAGGCCTCCATATTCTGTTAAACATCCTGTGTCTACTTCAACATTTATCACTGAATTCTCAGATTATCTCGAGTCTTTGGTCATGTCAAGTGAGCCTTTGTTAATACTGGGCGATTTTAACATTCATATGGATCTACCTGATGACACTGACTGTAGAAACATGTCTGACCTTCTGGTGTCGATGGGTCTTAAACAACATGTTCTACACCCTACCCATGAACTTGGTCACACACTGGATTTGATCATCACTCGTATATCTGATAACATCATTGCTGGGTGCCCCTACACTGGTGAGTTGTTCTCTGACCATTTCCCAGTCTTCTGTCAACTAAAACCTGAAAGACCTCCGGTGGCCATCAAACATCTGCAGTTCAGAAAAATTAAATCAATTGACCGTGATCAATTTTCCGAGACGATTTGCTCTTCTCAGCTCTGTCTTGACCCACCGGACGACTTGGATACCCTAGTCAATTGTTACAATGAGACACTAAGATCTATACTAGATATCTATGCACCTGTCTTGTCCCGTGATATTGTTGTTCGGCCTCGAGCACCGTGGTTTAATGAAGATATCAGAAAAGCTAAACGGTCGAGACGAAAGGCTGAAAAGAAGTGGAGAATTACTGGCCTATCTGCAGATCGTGCTGCTTTTAAAAAGGAAAGAAATCGTGTGGTGAACTTGATGAATGAGGCACGTCGTGTCTACTACAATCAATTCATTGAAGATAACAGTTCTGACCAGCGGAGACTGTTTATGGCAAGTAAGAGTCTACTGAATATGCAGCCGGATAGAGCTCTTCCTCCTCATACTGACGTTTCTCTGCTTGCAAATGACATGGGCGAGTTTTTTATTACCAAGATTGCTAATATAAGGTCAAAGTTGGAAGGTATCTCTCCATCGCATCTTCTGTCGTCGTCGGAGCCTGATCTGGTATCTGAACCTAGCGATATTGTACTGTCTGATTTTCAATGTACAACGGTTGTAGCAATACGTGATATGATTACATCAGGGAAGAAAAAAACTTGCATCTTGGATCCAATACCTGTGACTCTGTTATCTGCCTGCCTTGACCCACTCCTTTCCGTAATAACGAATATGGTTAATTTGTCCTTACGAACTGGATATTTTCCTGACGCCTGGAAAACTGCTGTGGTACATCCATTATTGAAAAAGCCTGGTCTTGATCCTCTTTTCAAGAATTTTCGACCAATTAGCACCTTGCAATTTGTGTCCAAACTTACTGAACGTGTGGTAGCCAATCAGATTCAGTGTCACATGATTAAGAACAATCTCTTCCCTCAGCTTCAATCTGCTTATCGTTCCCATCACAGCACTGAGACTGCATTGTTAAAAGTAAAAATCGATTTGCTAATGAATATGAACAAGGGGCATGTATCACTCTTGGTGTTATTAGACTTGAGTGCCGCCTTTGACACTGTTGACCACAAGATTTTATTAAAAGCCCTTCAGACGAAACTAGGTGTTTGCGGCTCTGCTCTTTCGTGGTTCAAGTCTTATTTGGAAGGGAGATCTCAAAGAATTTGCATAAAAGAGACGCTTTCGCAGTCATTTGATTTGAAGTGGGGTGTACCTCAAGGTTCTTGCCTTGGCCCGCTTTTGTTTACTATCTATTCAAGTGATTTGTTTTCTCTCCTGGAGTCCCATTTACCAACTGCGCATGCTTACGCGGACGATACTCAGTTGTATCTGTCCTTTAGTCCTAGTGTTGGCACTGGTGAGTTGGATGCGGTCACTGCCATTGAAAATTGTATTCGTGACATTAGACAGTGGATGTGTGTGAGGAAATTAATGCTTAATGATGTCAAGACTGATTTTATGCTTGTTGGGACACGGAAGCAGCTCACAAAGGTGTCTATCGATGGCATCAGAGTCGGAGATTATAATATTAGTCCTTCTTCATCAGTCTGTAATCTGGGCACATGGTTTGATCCGCATTTGAATATGGATGTACATATTACCAAAACATGCAGCAGCTCATTTTATTATCTTTATAATATCAGACATATTAGGAAGTACTTATCTAGAAGTAGCACTGAAACACTAGTTCATGCGTTTATAACAAGCAGACTTGATTATTGCAACAGCCTTTTGTATGGGTTACCGAAATATCAGTTGTCTAAACTACAGCGTGTTATGAATGCTAGTGCCCGTTTAGTTTATTGTGCTCCAAAGTCGTGCCACATCACGCCTCTACTTCACGAATTACATTGGCTGCCTGTTTGTTATCGTATCGAATATAAAATAATTCTTCTTACATTTAAGGTATTGCATGGTATGGCGCCCGATTACTTGCGCCATTTAATATCTATCTTGCCGCCATCTAGGTATAATTTAAGGCGCAACGATGACTCTGCAGCTTTATTAACTTTCCCGAAGATAATATCCAAGAAGACCCTGGCAGATAGATCGTTTAGTTGTGCCGCCCCTAGACTTTGGAATTTGCTTCCTACCACAATAAGATCTATTTCCAGTTTAGATATTTTTAAAAGTAGACTCAAAACTTTTTTATTTAATAGGGCGTTTAATTAGTTCTATAGTTTTTATAATTGAATTGCATTATTTTAGAATTGTAATTTTGAACTTCTATTTTAATTTCTAATTTAATATTTATTGTAAGGCGCAGTTGAATATTTTTATAGAAACTGCGCGGTATAAATTTAAATTTAATAATAATAATAATAATAATTCCCAAACGCGATACAAATTCAGGCTGGTAAGTGAAAAACGTATCTTCCTGACTTTGTAGTTTTTTTTTAAACCGCTTGTGGTTACTTTTGTGTCCTAAATGTATTGTCTGTTGGTGATTTTGTTTTAAAGTCCTACAGCTTCCAGAATTTTCGACCAAACGCAGCAAGATTTACTGGGGGCGAATATAGTAAACAATGATTTAAGCTGACGAATCTTTAGTGCGCAACTGCAAAGAGTGTCTCTATGGGCTGATGGCCTTTACAGCTAACGGTTAAAATTTTGGCCATTCTACGGCTCTGAAAAGGAACTACGCAAATGATAACCAATCTGAACCGCAAAGGAATAGCACGGAGTGATGGGTGGATAGCAGAATGACTTGCTACCGTGAGACGTCAAACACTTGCGGTTTCTTTCAGTACACAATCTATCGTGACTAAACAAAAGTGATAAAAGTGTAGAGGGCGCGATATAAATAATGAGTAAAGGAAAGGTGGCTTTAACTAAAGACCTCCTTCTTCAATAATGAATGATTTTTAAGAGATGTTTGGAAAATACATTGGTTTGAGATTATTGATCATTGTCTTGGGAAGCTTGTAAAGTATGTGCGAAGCTATAGGACGTGCGAAGCTTCATTTGCCCTCGGCTACCCCTCAAGCAATTCTCACGCTTCTTACGTGCTCTCCAAATTTCATATCTCGATGAACGAACGCTGACGCAATTGTAAATTAAAAAAGGGCGGAAGACGAGGTTGAAAGCACGGCCCATGGAAATTCTAGGTTGCCTCCTTGGCCCAAGTGAAGCTCTTAATTGTTCATCCGATGCTCAGGAAGCAGTGTTATTTCCTGCGCCCGAACTTTCATTTTAGAAAGACTAAAACTCAGTCATCAGAAGGAAAATTTAAGTGATGAAAATGAAAAGAAGACGTAAGTTTCAGCATTAGTAAACCTTATTTGTATTGGGAAATTCCTCTTTTTCAAATTTCTATCTTAGCAAGAGGTGTAATTTCATGAATTGTAAAGTTTAAGGGAAAAAAGAAATGGAGAGGGAAAGCCGTGAGCGCCAGAACGCGGTATATTTTGTCTCTTCCTTCCGCACGTCGCCTCAATATGGGCCTTGCTTCAGTTGCGCCTGAATTTTTTATATATTTATATATTAATTAACTTATTGAATAGCGAGACACGAGCCAATTTTCACCGACTCCTCGTTTCGTTTTATGAATTAAACCAGAAAAATTCGGTGCCGGATGCTTCTCACTGATCTCAGTATTTCTTCAATAATGTTAACTTAGGCGATCGTTTAGAATAAATTATTTTGCGAAGTAATTTTTCACTATCTTAATCCACTTTTCGGTTGAAATTTTTCGGGAGTCGACAGCGATGAGTGCTTGAATAACTATGAGCTTCGAAATACAGTGTGAGCTTCTTCTCGCAAGTCGGGAGATACCGCAACGAGGATCATTTCATTTCGGCTCTCTGAGTGTTCATCAATCATTCAGAAACATCTTCTAACGTTAAGCTAAAATGATAAAAGTCCAAGCTTGAATTAAAGAAAGTTACTATACCTCACCTAAATCAATGAAAAGTAACACAAAACAGCTCCGAACGTTCTTTCAGCGGAGGAGACTTGACAAGTTGGACGAATCGCTCACCACAACTGGTGCTCTAGTAATGTTTTTGGAAATTATGTATTGATTCGTAATTCGTCAGCTATACCGCGCTTGCACCTGTTCAATGAGCTAACAGTTGAATTCCATTCACTCTTGGTAGTTAATTCGTCAGCACTTAAATTTGTCCACGTCTCGTTAGTTCACATAATGGCCTTATTGACTAATTAATGACGAACTCACACCACGTACGTCCTGGAGACAAAGCTACTCATTTTGTATACATCACTTTTTTACGAATAAACCTTTTACGGCATATGTTTTTATAGATTTCTGCTAAACTTATACTCCCTGCTGTTCGGCTTTGAGTGTTGGTTCTTTTTCGACTTCATTCCTCCTCGGCCTCCTTTTCAGAACATTTGGGATAAAAGGGAGTTTCCCACTTACGCAAATTAAACATTTCTTTCCAATTATCTGGCTCGAAGGAGGCGGTGAGTAATAACTTTAATCGTTTAAAGTGTACCATGTCTCGCACGGAACTGCCTGTGCATAGCTATGATGAATGTAATCTACATGGAAAACGTCATTTCAATTACATGTGGAGCCATTGATGCTGTGTTTATGGAAGGTGAAACATATCTGCGTCATTGCGTCCCACACATTACGAAAATTCTGTGAGGGAACATAAGAATATAAAGGAAAGCTTTTTTTTGTCGGTTTATGTGGATCGTAATGCTTTGAAAGTGAGAATTAATTTTTAAAATACCCTTCGGGTTCAAGGTGGTATTAGTTTCTAAACCTGCTCAGCTAATAGAGATAGCGCGGGTTTTTTTTTCTTTTACGAAGGAATCTCATCAGTTTAGTGCTAAACACTCAGAGGCGCTCTTCGTTTATAATATTACACCATTTTGAATTGGATAGAAATTAATTATAAATTAACTTGGAGACTTGACTTTCCCTTTTTAAGAGGAGGGCCATCGATATACATTATATTACTGTTGAGAATTTGCCATGATTTTAAAGAGGTTTTCTCTCTAGGGATGTCTGAATTTTTGTTTTTGTTGTTGTTTTTTTTTTTTTGCGGAAAATGAATTTTTTTTTGCAGAAAACTATTTAAGATGCCTTGAATATCAGCAAACAAAAGGAGAGATTTCTACGAAAGTCTACCTTCTCATTTTTCATTAATGTCACGTCGAAAAATATATAATTTGCATCTATCTTTAACAAACTTTTTATTTAGCAGCTGCTTAGTGCATCTCATCGGTTAATTACCCAGGATAGATAGAATCATAAAACATTTCGCAGTAACAGAAAGCTGAACATGAAAACATGCGACATGAAAGTACTTCCAATTTTTGCCTTTAACCTCAGAAAATGAGGGCTCTTTCCTGACTAATTGTTATCATGCAAAACGTGAAAATATTCAGTATAGAAATGAGACGCAAACACATAGTGATGTAATGTTAACCTTCTTTTCTTTTAAAGTTATATTTTCATTTTTATATTCGTACATTACAAGTATTACCCCATGGTGTGCCTTAGTCATACTATGAAGTTTACGAATGGACGCAAAATTCACCCAGTCAACCATTCACTCCATCCTAAGAATCTGTAACGCAATAATTTTATGCAGTAAATCTTCCCTTACCTTCCCTCCTCGAATTGTTTCTTTCTCCATAGGCGTGTTATAGTTTTCTGTCTAAATATCTTATGAACGAGGAGACAAATGCCGAAATTTTTGCCTGAGTACGTAGAATTATCAACATAATTTAAAATGGCGTCTGTCGCGTGGCGGCCGTTCGAAAAATGATCAAGGTGGTTTTTCCTTCTCGTGTCACGCTCCATCCTGATCAAAGTACAGTTTTGTGGACGTAAAAACGAAAAGCAACCGTGCAGAAGGATACTTGCTAAAGTGGAATAAACGGGTTTCAAAGTCTTAAAATCGACGATGATAACAGTCCCAGCGATAGATGTGGAAAATTTTTTCCGCGCCGCGCAAGCGATTTTAATTCTACTATTTTAGTTGTTTCTGGTGTATCGGTTTGGATGTCATCGGCTCTATTTTACACATATTTGGCAGCTAATTTACTACGCCTTGAGGTTTTACAGATTACAGAAGATTTGGCTTCTCTAACAACCCAATTACCTTTTCGCACCTGGTTTGGTCGCTTGAATCTTGTTCGTCAGAATTTGAAAGTGCGCTTATTTTTTAATTACCTGCTGGAGCGCAGATTGAATTTTAGCATCAATTTGGCCATAATTTTTCAATATTTTTGGGCCGTCAATTTATTTGACTTATGAATAAATGTTGTCTTGAAACCTGTTGAGCATATGGTTGAAAATAATTTTCAGAAACAACTATATTCCAAGAGTGAAGAACTGATCTTGTAGCTATTGAAAGATTTCCCATAAAGCTGTTGGGTCTCATCGTTCCTGAATCATGCTGTTTAGGTGTCAGTGGTTTTGCGATCGAGTGTATTTGGCATCAGATCTAGTTACTATATCGAATTTAGTTAGGTTTAAGTTATCGCGATGAGTCTCCAAACTATGACTGTCTTGTCCAACTTCCACTAGTGGAAGTACTTAGTTTGTCCTCTGACCTTGCCTTTTGACTTTTTTCACGAAAGTTCCTGTTTTGGCTTACGCGGTCAAAAATTGATTCGGTTGAGTGGAAGCATTAGTGCGTTGTTGTTCATTTGTGAGATTCTTGTGAAAGGGCTGGGTTAGTGTCCTGACAACAAATGGTTAATCTTCCAAGGTCATTTGGCCAGCATGCCCGCTTATGCTCGCCGATGGTGAATATTTAAGTAGATAATCTAAAGTTTACTAAGTAGTCTATGAGGTGGAGAAGTGTGAGGATCAAAGAGGGTTTGGTCAGAGTGAGGGTCAGTAGACCAGAATTATCCATTTCGAAATGAATTTCATGTATACTGAGTAGAATTTTGTGTATATATGAACAAAAGACAGAGCATAATACGAAATTGCATGTTCCCAACGTGGTACATAGCAGAAGATTTCTTTGAGGGAGCAAGGTTATTTGGTAATTACAGGATGAATTTACATACCAGATTTGAAACGGAAATACCCTAATAATGAATAAAAAAGTGTGCAAGTAAATAAACAACTTTGAAAAAATGAAGGAGTGAATGAAAAAATGAATAAGTGAATGAATAAATGAATGTCTGAAGGAGTGAGGGAGTGAATGAATGAATGAATGAGAGAATAAATGAATGAATGAATGAGAGAATGAATGAGTTACTGAATAAATAAATGTATGAATAATTGAGAGTGAATGAATGAATGAGAATGTTAAATAAATATTGGTAGTGTTAATGTTAAATAAATATTGGTAGCGATTGCTAATAGTAATAGTAATTATAATTAGTAGAGAAACATTTTCGTGGATTATAGTTCAAGAGATATTGAGACATGATTTTTTCTTTTCTTTCTAACAGATGTTAAGGTACAAATTTAATTCTTTTTAAGTGAAGCACTGTACATAGGTCTTTTTTTATGAGTATTGAATAAAGATTTTGTTTTACTATTTTTTTTTTATGAACGAGAATGAATTAATGAAAGAGTAAGTGAGTGAGTGAATGAATGAATGAGTGAATAAATGAGAATGAGTGAGGGAATGAACAAACGAATGAATGAGAGGATGAATGAACGAACGAATGAATAAGTGTGTTGTTGAATGAATGAATAAATGAATGAGTGAGTTAATGCACGAAGTGTGAGTGAATGAATGAACGAGTTAATAAATGAATGACTGACTAATTTACTGAGTGAAGGAAGGAAGGAAGGAATGAATGAATAAATGAGAGAATGACTGAACGAATGAATGAATGAGTGCATAAGTGAGTGAATGAATGAACAAATAAATTAATGTATGATCAAGTGAATGCAGTAATGAAAGAACAAGCTGTGGTGATTTCTCAATACTTCCTTTTCAAACGCATGGGTTTGCCAGCTTTGTTCTTACGAAAGCGGAACTAGGTTGTGGAAATGTTTGGCCACATCATAACACATGCAACACCCTCATTAACTCCATGTTTGGCCAAGATCAGCGTACCCTCTTTTTCCTCTTGGTGTACGACAAAGAGAACTACAATTTATATGTCAGCGTGAAGCCAATCTCCAATCACAAACTCCGAGATGGTGAACGAAAATCCTCACTATCAATTTACTGCGTAGTGGTGATCTATAGTTGTCAAAACACGATTCACCATTATGATTTCATTTTAATCTTAATACCTCACCCTGTTCCGCTCAGTTGGAGTTTATATCCAAAGTCATGTCCTCTGAAACTCGAGCTTGGTTGATTTTAGCTTTTAATTAACGTTAGTCAATTGTTTTTCTCGCGACCGAAAAAAAAGGTAACTAGTGAATGTGCGGTGGGGATTTTTAGGTTTCCCGCGAACGGGAACTTGAGGCGTAAAATTCATGCGTTCGTCGAAAAACCGTTACTGAAAGATCGCTGAAGAATCACTTGGCTAAGACGTGATGCTGCAGCAGACAGGCCAAGAGTTATGCTATTTCACTAGAACTTTTTCAAGTTTTTTATTGTAATATTCGTATATTTAGATGATATTTGAGGTCTGACAAACGCGTTTGAGTTGAACAAAATAATGAAAAGAGAAATTTGAAAAAAACGGGTGGGAATTTTAAAAAGGGTAGGTCACGTTATATTTTGTGACGTTTGAGGCTATTATAACTTATGGGAGACTGCAATACATCAGCTCGGTAGGATGAAAACACAGACTAGGTAAAAATTGACCACGAATAAACAAAATGGGCTAAGGATGGAGTTGATTGGGACGGATTGTATATGACAATCTTCAAAATTGAGGCTAAATCTCTAACAACAATCAGCTGTTACATGACTGCTTCACGTTGAATTTTTCTAGTTTAAATAACCCTGTTATAAGTCTCGAATGTAAAAAAACTTCAGGAAGCACTTAAGATAAACAATGCAGAAATGAAAGATCTTCCTTTCAAAAGCAGTCATACTGGATCAAGCTTGGACGATCTTGTCTCTGTCGAGTATTTCAACCTT